GTGAAGTCCGAGGAGACGGCTGGCCTTGTGGAGCAGGTCGCGCGGCTCCAGTCCGAGACGGCGAGGCCAGACATTCTTCTTTGGAAGCAGCGTGTTGCAGCATGTGTTCCTCTTTCTTCCCTCCTCGTCTTCCTGCCTCCTCCTGCGTCTCGCCACCCCCTGCCTCCTCGCCACCACTCGTCGTCCTCGTCCTCCATCCTGTCTCCTGCCCCTCCTACCTCGTCCTCCCTCCTCGTCCTCCTGCCCCCTCCTCCCTGGTCCTCCCTGGTCCTCCCTGGTCCTCCCTCCTCGTCCTCCTGCATCCTCCTGTCCTCGTCATCCTCCTCCTCGCTGCCTCCTTCTGCCTCGGCATCCGGTTGCGGCGCATCCTGCAGCTTCGGATGGAGGCAGTTACCCGTCACACGCGCAACATTGCATTCCCTTGTGCGTGTCGTGTGTGGCGGGCCCCCCCTCCGCCCCCAAGTAGGTGCACCCGCCTGAGCTGGGCACCGCCTCTCGAGGCGTTGGGCGCCGCCGCGCGGCGCCACGACCGCTCAGCGAGCGCGTCGCCCCCCCAAAAAATGTGGTTCACGATCCCGCTGTGGAGCGCTGCGCTCTTCGAGCCGGGCGGCTTGCCTTGACCTCCTTCGCCCCCGTTGTCATGGTTTTCCAGTTGTTCTGGTGCCAGGGTGCGGCGTTTGGGTCGTGGCTGCCCGGCGGTTTGTCCCACTTCGCCGCTGGCAAACATGTTTCGGGCTCCCGAGGCCCGATTGTCTTGAGGCGTTCCAGGCGGCGGGCGGGATTCGATCAGGACGGGGTAATCTGTTCCAGGGTTGAGCGTTTCGAAACCCTTGGAGAACGCCGCGGCACGCGAGACATCCTCCAGAGCCGCTGGATATCAGAGAGTCTCTTCACCCGGTTACTCTCGTCCTGGCTTCGTTGTATGTTTTGGTTTCATCTTAAATTCTCGGCTCTCCTGAGGAGTTCAAGGGCGGCGGGGTGAATCATTCGGGTCTTCCTTGCGGCACTTCGGCGCGAGGTTTCGGAAAGCCTTGGGCCTGCCTTCGGCCATCTAGCGGTCGTTTCCAAGACCTCCGACGCTTTGTTGTGCTGCCTGTTCAATACGCGGGCCCTGGAGTTTTCGGCCCTTTCGGGGGATCGGAATTTTTCGAAGAACCAAACACAGCATAAACTTGATCTGTCGGCGTTGCGCGCGGATTTCCTGGATCGGCGTTGGGCTCCCCGGCTGCGCTCCGGCGCCGCCCCTGACGCGCTCCGCGCGCCCTGCAGGGGCGTCCACCGCAAATCCGTGAAATGTGCGCGGGCCGTCAGGATAACATGTTTGTGCCATTCTTTGTTCCTTCATGGGCTCGCCTTCGCCCTTCAGGATAACCGCCTGCGCCCTTCATGGGCTCGCCTTCCGGCGCACGGGCGTGACCTGGCTTGTTCATTCCGGCCCGTTGGAAATAGCGGCCCTGGGGCTCGGAAGCGGCCCCAGGAGGCCGAAAGGTGTGAAGACTCTCCGCTTCGATGTTTTTATTCGGGCGTTCGAGGGTCTGGCAGCCAGGAACCGCGTAGAGCACAGTTAACCCGCATAGCAACGATCCGCGACCTTCCCAAGGGTACCCCTTGCATCCAGGCCTCCTCGGTCCATCCTTGTCCACGTTCGTTGGCCGCACCCCGCTCGGAAAGCTTCGAAGTGGCTTCCAAAAGCCTTTCTGCATCCTTACCGCGCATCCCTCTGGTGCGGGTCGATTGTATCCCGCATGCCTGGAGGTTGACACCAACACCAATATCGGCTGTGTTCTTCCACCGCGGGACGAGGATACCGATCTCGGTGGTGGAGGTAATATTGTGGTTTCCAAGGTGAACGGAATATCACCACCACCGAAGCCTAGGATCATCTTCCCCCCGTGGAGGCAACCCCCTGTGTTGGTGTCGGTGCCCATTTCCAGGCCTCCAAATATAGTTTTTTTTGTGGGGGGGGGGCGGTCCGGGGGCCCGGATCGCCAGGGTCGCGGTGCCCGAGGGAGGCCTGGAGGGCCTCTGGCGGCCCCGTGGGGGAGGCAGCCTGCGTGCCTGCACCCGGGGGCCTGGGAAAGGCAGGTGGTCCATGCACACGGAGGTCAGTCCGGGCGCCGGATCCTGCAGCATCTTGCAGAGCCGGGGTTGCATTGACCCAGGCTCGGGTGCAGGATCCTGCAGTCGGGGGCGGCAAAGAGGTGGGCGATGACCAGGGGGGAATCTCATGGCGTGGGCCATGATATTTCCCCAGATTTCATGGCGCCTCTCCTTATTTCATTAGGTCCCTGGCCCCCCCCCTTGGGCCGAGCACGTGCCGCTGGCCATGATTTGCACACACACCCTCTTGGACCCCCCCTCCTGGCCGCCCCCGATGCAGGATCGTGCAGGATCCTGCAGGGCCTGACTGGCCCGGGTTTGGATTGGTCGGGGCCCGTGCGCCCCCGATGCTCGGCGGCAGGGCACAGACGACGTCGAACAAGACCCGGCGGCGAGCCCCGGAGGGAGTGCAGAGGGGGCGGGCCCTCCGCAGAAGGCTCGGGAGGCCTGTGGCCCTCCGAGAAGTGCTCCGAGCCACCTCCGGAGACGCAGGCGGCATCTCGGAGGGCGGGGGGCTTCTGAGGAGCCCCGCCGCCTTCTGCGAAGGCCTGCCCCCCCTTCACTTCCCCCTCTGGGGCGCGCCGCCAGACTTCTGCCGGGAGTGTCCCCCTACAGAGGGATTTTCGACGAAAAATAAAAGATACCCCAAAAATGTCAAAACATATTCAAAAAATAGTTCCCAGACCATTGTTGCATTTTTTTATTATTTTGGCGGTATTTTTAATTTTTCGTCGAAAATCCCCCTGTAGGGGGACAGGCCCGACTTAACGCCAGACGACAACTCCCCACCGCGGCCCTGCCCCACCAGCCTGATCGCGCCGCTCACATTGCGGTGGTGGCGTCCGTGGAGGGATGTGCCCATGAGGCTTCAGGCCCAGGATGGGTCCTTATCTCGGGAGCACGAGGGAGAGCGGCGGCGATACAGTCGGACAGAGGTATCAGATCGAGGTCGGTTCGGGGAGGGTACCTTGATGATGTTCGTGTATGTTGATGTTGCTTGCGCAGCTTTGGGAGGGTACCCTGGGATGTCTGTGTGTTTTGGCTGGCGGAGGGTGCCAAGTTCTTAAAGAATGCTCTTCTGGCAAAGGTCCGACTGTATCAATTGCTGGGCCACATAGGAGTCCCACCGGTTTCCAGACCCTAGGTTCCTGATCCAGTGCTTCTTTATCCCATGCCCTCACCAGAGTGTCGTCTCGACATGTTCATCGTCGTTCTCCTCTTCCTCCTCCTGCTCATCCTTCTTCTCACTCTGGCCTTATTCATCCGCGGAGACCTGGTCAGCACGCCCCTCTCCTTCGGCTTATCGGTATCGATGCTAGTTACCCTGCGCCATCCATCGCACTCGTTCATATGCCGTCGATAGCGGCCCCGGCTGACAGGACCAAGTCACCAGCAAAGCACGCGAGAGCGGAACAGGGCTCCCGAGAGGCTCCCGAGGGGCCCCTCTGCGAGTTCGGACCCGTGCCCCGCCGGGATGAGGGGCAGGATGGCCGAGGGTGCGGGGTAGGGGCTCGCGGCATGCACTGGCGGCTTGCACCAGGGCGTAGGGGGAAGGAAGGCAAGTTTCTCAGAAGGAGGCTGCTTCTCAGAAGGCTCCGGCCTTCCAGCTGTAGACGAGGCCCGCGCCTTCTCACCAGCAGGGGGGCTTCGAAGAAGCCTTCCCCCCTCCCGCCATACCCGTGCTTCTCAGAAGGCGCGAGCCGTCTTTGTAGATGTAGGGCCAGCGCCTTCTAAGAAGCAGCCTCCTTCTAAGAATCACCGAGCGCGTTTCACTACTCACAAAGTTCCTACTCGCAGACGTCCGTAAAGCAGGTGTCGGCTCTGATGCAATGAATCGTAGATCCCCTTGTGGCGGATCCAGGCCATTTGCGAACAGTTACTTTGCGAGTATTAACGGGCGAAAGACGGTATAAAATAATCTGTTTCGCCGTCGGGGACACCTGCCCCTGGGCGGCTGGAAAGTTTATACCCCTACGGTGCCACCGTAGGGTTGTAAACTTTCCAGCCGCCCAGGGGCAGGTGTCCCCGACGGCGAGAAAGTTTACTTTTTATACCGTTCTTCGCCCGTGAAGAGTAGTGGAACGCGCTCGTCGAAAGAAGCCCTCCCCCCCATCCCCCCCCACGTGCCCCCTGCGTGCGCGCCGCCCGAAAGTGCACGCGCTCCTCCGCGCGGGGCGGGCCGCCGCCTGTCTGCCCCCCGCCGCCGTGCCGCCATCCCCCTCCTGTCCCCGCGTGTGCGGGGGCCCCGTGCCCCCGCGCGTGCGGGCCGCGTCGCGTCTTTCGGGGAGGGAGGATCAGGGGCTGCTCGGGTACTCCAGATTTCGTAATAAAGGGAGGGGGGTCTCATTTGGGGGGAGGGTCTCTTCCAGGCTGTCTTGGAGGGCCTGGGGGGTCTGGGGACGATGTTTTGGAGGGTTCTCCCACGGGGGAGGTCTGAAATGGCTTGTCTTGGAGGGTCCAGACCCCCTCCCTTTTATTACGAAATCTGGAGTAGGAGGTCGGCTACAGAATTGAGTCACCCCCATGGTCCTCGATTCTGTTGGTCGAGTCTAGGAGAGAAATGCGCAGAGTGCCCTGCAGATCTGCGGAACCCTCTCGGTTTCTTCCCGTCGATTCGGCGACCGCGCACAATTCTTAGGTATTTCCGTCGATTCGACGACCACGCACAATTCTGGGGTGTGTCAATTTTGTAGTCGATCTCCCATTCGAGCTATGTCAGGGGAGGATGTGCTTTTGGGGCGACTCATCGACCCCCAATCGCCCACTCATCGCCGATAGGGTCCCCATAGCCCCACCCTGCCCAAGATCGTGCGGATTGGCTATACGGGGGCCTGTCGCCGATCTATCGGCGGTGTACAGTCAGCCCGCGTATTCAAGATGGGCGACATTCCCAAGGGTACCCTC